CAGATTTTTTTTTTCTTGTTAATTAAATTTTTTAGCTCCATTCTGAAACGTTATGCTTATCAACTTCACGTGTGTGGGTGTGTTTCAGCTGGAGGAGCCGTTCCTAGCAGACTGATATCTGCAGTGGTGTGTGGTGTGCTAGGGGAGATTACAAACACTGCAGAGTAGAGACAACCAGGCTTATCTGTGGGAAGTAAAGGAGGATGAGAGATGAATGGAAAAGAACCGTTTTATTAATCAACACTTGTTCTTTAAAGACCTGCAGTAAGATGTGCTCATTGAAGGTTTGTGCTTACAAATTAAGCAAAAACCTAAATTTCTTTTGTATTCACATTCAGAACATATCTAAAACTCTATACACATGAAATAGTCAAGACTGGAAATTATATTTAAGGGGGCTTTTACTTAAATATTAACACATTCAAATTATAGCCAGTAAATTTAGATATTTATATTCTCAAATAAAAGTCAAATTACTTGAATATTCCACTAAATAAATAGTTTAGACACAGCAATCATAAATCCAACCTCTGATCAAAAAATAACTACACACATATTTGTGATGGTGAGAAACATGCAGGTCGATAGTTTCTCCAGTTTCTCATTTAAATTGTACCCACAGCTGCTGAACTGTGAGTAACACACCTCTTAAAGCAACTACAGTCTGAAATGATGTAATTTAAGGGTAGCAGGATTTAAGATTGTCAATCATTATGTGAAAAGAGAACATTCTGCAGAATCACTTGATGTGTCTGGAAACTTTTATCTAAAAAAAGTCTTTGTCTACTCATAAAAAACCTAGACTTTGCAAACTAGAGTTTCAGCATCTGTCTGTAAATTTGGCAGCCAGCTAAGTGTGAAGAAAGGTTTCCCTCCCACATACTTTCAGTTCTATTTGAAATGATTTTAATAATCATTCGGCAGGTGCACAGAATTTAGATTCATGGCAACCAGATGCCAGATGAAAGAGTTAGAAGTCTTATTTTCTGCTGTTACAGGTGTGTGTATAGCTCGGATGTTCTTGGCCTTCTTCCTTCTGGGAAGACCTTCTAACAAGAATATGAAGAATATGTGTGTGTCTGCCATCACGTTTCGGGAGCTAACAGAGAGTTACAGTGTGTCCTTCCCACACACAGCCAAGGTGCCAATCTGTTTTGCATCGGCCTCTCTCTTTCAAAGTAATAACTGACTTTGATCCTGAATTCTGACATTTTGAGATGTGTGTGTGTGTGTTTGTGACGGAGAGAGAGAGAGAGAGAGAGAGAGAGAGATCAACATATAGCCTCATCTGTCTCATTTAGTCTGAATTCTGCTCTAGTGCTACCAGACATTAAGCAGTTTTATCATTAATGACAGCTTATAATAATAGTTTGAAAACTGATTAATGACTTTGAGACGGGAATTGCTAACACTACTTCTATATTTGCTGTACACCTGAAATCCCACTGGAAAGATGCAGATTCTTATTTTTTCCTGTTAGTTGTTCCCCAAAGTCAATTCATAGTTACAGCCTGGCTCTGTCTACACTAGCCAGTAATATTATTTCTGGCCTGTAGAGGGGCCTCAAGCAAAATGTTCCATGATCCTGCCTTCCAGTAAGTTAAACACTTAACACATATGGGTTTAAATGAGCAGATTGTATGTTCGTGGCTTTGAGTGTCGTCATTTAGAAAGTAGAACAGAAGTTAAAACAAAATCAAACCCACAAATATAACACCTAGAGGAAGCTCTTTCTATAGAGAGTCTGAAGACACAGGGAGGAAGGAGGTTGCTTGTTCTTCCTGGTTGTATTAACACATTTACATTACAACAATAATAAATTCATGAACTGATAACAAGAAGGAGAGATTCTTTAACGTCTTAGAGTAACATGTTAGTACAACTCTTTTCAGCTCCCTCCCTTTGCAATTGAGAGTTTGCAAAATAATTGTTTGTGTGAGTGAGAAACTGCATATATAGCGACACACTGTAGCTAAAAATGTTAATAGCTTATTGGAATAAAGAGTCTGATTGTTTCAACAAACCTTATTAAAAGATTTTATGTCAGTCTCTCAGCTGTTGCACAATTTGCTGGGTGTTCTGCCACATTTCTGTCATCCACAGTAAACTGTAAAGTTAGGTTCTTCCTTATTTCCCTACATCAGTAATGCTATTATTTATTACAGATGTCTGCACTTTGGTTTAGGGTTATGAACTGACCTTTCATTGACATAAAAAAAAATCTTTGGCTCTCTCCTTGTTGCACAGCAGCCAGATGTAGGTCTGGGGCCTTACACAGAGCACATACTGTTGTGTCATTTTTTTCCCCCTCCAAAAACTTGATGTCGGAGCAACTTGAGCAAAATAACATCCCATGAGAGAGATCATTGTGACTGACAAAGTCACATACATCTACCACAGAAACCTCTGTTGCAAACAATCCACAGTTTTATATCTGCAGCAGAACATGATCTCCCAGTGGAGCCGCTTTGTGTGGGTATACTATACATTCCTTCAATGCTGCAGAGCTAATTGTTTCACTCTTTGTCAGCCACTTTTCTGTCTTGAAGACATCTCTCTGCTGAAATCATATTGTAAGCAGTTCATATAACAGTGTAGCTTGCAGGAAACCCTGACACAGTGATAATGCTTTCGCTCACTCAGATTTGAAA